GCTAACTCTGTCAACTGCAGCCCGCTGCTGCGCGAGCTGCATTGGCTGCCTGTGGCCTTCCGGGTGCGCTTCAAGGTGCTGACTATCATCTTTAAAGCGCTCCATGGCATCGGACCCGGATACATTCGAGACCGCCTCCTGCCGCAGATTACCTCCCATCGACCTGTACGCTCCCATAGAGTGGGTCTCCTCAGGGTGCCGTCGGCCAGACAGTGCCGGCTGGCGACCCCAAGGGGGAGGGCCTTCTCTGTGGGAGCTCCCACCCTCTGGAATGAACTGCCCCCAGAGATCAGGGTTNTCGCAGGACTGGCCTAGGGTAATTTTTAGAGGGGTTTTAATCAATATTTTAAATTGGACAATTCTTTAATATTCCTTTTAATTAATTTTAAATCTGTATTGTTATTTGTGTATTTTAATTGATTGTCCGCCGCCCTGAGTCCTACGAGGAGAAGGGCGGGATATAAATCTAAATAATAAATAAATAAATAAATAAATAACTGCCAGCAGTTGGATCCTGACCAGCTCAAAGTTGACTCAGCCTTCCATCCTTCCAAAGTCGGTAAAATGAGGACCCGGATTGTTGGGGGAAATATGCTGACACTGTAAATTGCTTAGAGAAGGCTGTAAAGCACTATGAAGCGGTATATAAATCTAAGTACAGTACTGTTGCTATTGCTAGGCTGTGAGATATTTCTTGACTGCTTGTTCCTTTACGGTGAATCTTCATTGCCAATTTTGAGGCTGGTTCTATCTGTTGCCATGAGTTTGGTCTTCTTTATATTTTATTTAGTTCCATTTTTTCACTTTGCTCCTTAACTTTTATTACTAGAGTTTGCAGATCTTTTGCATATTTGGCTAATGGAATTAGCATAATGCAGGTTATTGATGTTTCTTCCTCCAATTTTAAAAACATGCTTGTCTTCTAATCCGTTCCATTAATACATATTCAGCATTAAATACTTTAAATACTTACAGAAAATTTATTGCTTAAATTTCTTCAGCAATATAACAAAATTAATTCTAAGCCAAGAAATTACAGGACATGTTATAGATATATAAATTGATAGCAATTTAAACTACGTTTGAAATTCCATTTGTACTTATTAAAATGCTCTTTTTAAAAGATTCCTAAAGCAAAGATGTGTTGTTTAAATGTTAGGTACATATAAAAATATAATTGTGAAAATCCAGGTGTCTTTATTTAATTGTTTCCAATATACCTTGTGCTGAAAAAATGTGCTTCCAAAGCCTTACAAGACTTTGGTTGAAGCTATCTACAGAAGTGTTCCTCCTGTACAGTCCATCCTACGATCTCAAATAACACATGGAGTGCTTTTTGCAGGCTTTGCTGTAATATGTACTATGCTCCTTTTTCTGTTGTGAGGCCTAATTTATAGAATAAACATCTATTGGAATTGAGACATGCCCTTTCCTTATTAAAGTTCAGGAGAGGCTCAAAATATCTTTTTAAACTTTGGGGATTTGTAGAGTTTTGTCATTATATTAT